GATGACGCTGGATCAATTTAATCTCGAACCAGAAAAGCAAATTTCAGCCAAACTGAGTATTCATCTTTAAATCTCTACAAACTCTAACGTATGAGAGAGAAAGTGAGAGACCTAGGGTTGGAGAGTGCAGCTTAGGAAAGAGAGGGTTAAAGAAAGAAAGTTGGAGAGAGAGACCTAGAGGAGAGAGAGTGGGGCGGCTTAAGAGAGAGAGAGTTAAAGAGAGAAAGTGGAGAGCGAGAGACCTAGAGGAGAGAGAGTGGGGTGTGCCCTATGGGAGAGAGGAGAGAGAGAGTTGTGGGAGAGAGAAAAGTGTAGAGAATAGGGAGAATGTGCACCCCTATTTATAGAAAAAATTTAAGTTTAGGGTTTCTCATAGTTTGCCTCTTTCTTGAGATTGAATATGGACCGTTGATCAAGGTGACCTATGGAATGAGAGATCTGAGCTATCCATTTCACATTATGGAAAGTGCTTGGACCATTATCCCCTTTCCTTAATCCATTTTTTCATCAATATATTTAAATAAATTGAATATTATTTAAATATTATTTATTTCATAAAATAACATATTCTTTCCCATGCTATTCAAAGATATGTCAAGTCAAGTTATGTTTTCAATATTTAGGATAAGATGTAGATCATATGCTACATGATACATTTCCTAAATTTGAATAACTTGACAACAAAGCAAACAACCAAGAGTTGGAGCCTGCCACCTATGTGTGGCACTTGTGGGCCCCACCCACATGGTACATGGTGGGCCTATGTGCACTATGGACCCCCATGATATTTAACAAATTAATTTCTAAAATATTATTTGAATTTTATACTTTTGTAAAATCAATAACTTTATTTTTATAAGTTCAACTATTATAAATAAAATATCAAAATACTCATAAAAATTTAAATATTAATTTTATAATAATTTATATCATAAAACAAACATAATTAAATTAATAAAAACAAACATAATTAAATTAATATGATGGGAAATGGATCCATATGGTTTAGGAATTGAATTAACAATCATGGGGCACTCCACCTTCAACTGTGGACTACGAACTACACTTGCTTTATCATACCGACCAAATGCTTCTCATGATCCACAGTACAAGCAGGGGTTCATTAGCTGGTCACCAAAGTCTGACTGATGACCCACAGTCCAAGCAGGAGTTCATTAGCTGGTTACCAAAGTCTGTGGATTTTAGGTCCTCACCTAAAGACAAGTTAAGGTCACCTAAAGACAAGTTAAGGTCACCAAGACCTTATGCGACCACAGTTCTATGCTGTATAGGAGTATCTCTCACACAAACATACGCTTCACCCTAAAAGGTGGATATCTGGCTTTCTCGAACAATCTATCGATATGCATGCCGTATGATGGATCATGGATGAGGTTTTAGCCTCTGTCTCTGTAGGCCCGCCATCATACACAAGGGTCACACAGTCCATTGGCTCATCTAGGCATAAGCTCCGACCTCATCAGAACCCTTCTCGGTTTGTTCTCTATGTCCAGATACCTTGGATTTTCCAATCGATTGGCCTAGATCATCAAACACAGTCTGGTATCAGCAAACATCAGTTACTTAGTATGGTCCATGGGCGACCACACTTCCATTGAGTTCATATTCCACTATATTATTTCATTTTACAATCACTCATAAGGTCTTTAAAGTCCACTTAAACCGAACAGCAAAGTATGCGCGCTTTGGATTGAGTAAAGGGCAAGCTTTCTAGGCTTCCCCTATAACATATACTTCCCCTTATCCAACCGTCTATTATGAATGGAGGGCTAAGAGTACCCTAATCACAATGTCACGTCTTTACACTATTTTATTTTTTATTTTATTTTCTAGAAACTATTTTAGCATCAAATTTTTTGCATCCAATCCTCTATTAAACTTGCACTAGCGAAAAATATAAAATATAATATTTTCAATAATATAAAATGACCAAAATACCCTTGAAAGTTTCAAGAGTTATTTTGGTCATTGTATTTTATTGAAAAATTACTAATATTTTTATATTTGCGCCCCAACAAGAA